AGAGTTCATGGAGGAGCAAGCAGCTCTTCAGTCTTGCATTTGGGATGCCTGCATCCCACATCACACTGCTTGCCTGAGTTTGATTCCCAGCCCTGGTTCCTGGTTCCAGTTTCTTCGAGTGCAGTCTCTGAGCAGCAGCTCTGACAGCTCAAATTGGGTCCCTGACACCTACCTGGGAAAGCAAGATTGAGTTCCCATTCTTGGCTCTGCAGCGTCAGCCCCACCTTTGCCATTCGGGGAGTGAACCAGTGGATGAGTGCGTTCTCTCTCTCTCTCTCTCTCTCCATTTTCCCACTGCCGTGTGTGTGTGTTTGTGTGTGTCTGAACATTTTAAGAACATTTTAAGTTTTTTTTTAATTTGTGAAAAGCAGGTGTTATGAAAAAGCAATTCAAGCAATTCAAACTTTTTAATAAACTTTAAATAAACATTTTTAATCCAGCTTCCATGAACTTTGGGAAGCCCTCCTCTTATTGGTCTAAAAATGAAGTCTGTTTGAACTCACCTTAATACTTCAGTCTCTTCTGGTTTAAAGCATGAGTCTTCTGATGAACTAGAGATTCTCTCCCTCCCGCCACTTTTCTTTTCCCTGCTCTTTTCCTCAGATTCGGGGTGCCTAGGGGCTGCTGTGTGTTCCTGGCTTGTGGAAGGGGCATCAGTCTTATCCTCCAGTTGAGACTGCTGATTCTCACTCAGCTCAGCTGCCTCTGTAAAGTAGTCCCTTCACCTTGCCCGTCACCCTCCCCCAGGCTCCTGGTTCTAAATTCTTTCCCAGACCTCTCCACCCTGCACCGAAAGCCAAAGAAGTCATAATGAGTACTATGGTCTGAAAGTTTAGGTCCCCCTACCCTACCACCACTAATATCTCCAAATTCATATGTTGAAAGCTAATCCCCAGTGTGAGACCTTAGCTTGAAGGAAGAATCCTCATGAATTGGACTAGTTCATCTGTAAAAGAGGCCTAAGGAAATGATACATCACACACCACACACACACACACACACACACACACACACACCACCCACCCACCCACCCACCCACACACACACACACACACACTGAGGTTTGCTGCCTAGAAGGTGCCATCTGTGAAGAACAACCCCTAGCAGACGTTCAAGCCACTGCACCTTGATCTTGGACTTCACAACCTCCAGAGCTGTAAAGAACGAATTTATAGTGCTTAGAAGTGCTTTTTAGTCTATGACATTTTACTTTAGCAGCCCTGCCAGAGACAACAGGGGAGACAATGGGCTAGTTTTTTCCCCTCCCTTAAAATAATGTGGAAGTTCTCAGCAGCAGACTGGATAGAATTCTGTCTGATCTGGGACTCTCAGCACCTTCTCCCCAGGCCTCACAAAGTTGTCAACCCCTGGTTGGGGAGCTGGAGGACAGAAAATAAGCCCTATACTCCATCTCAACTCTCCTGTGCTCACTTGCTCTCTTTCTCCCTCTCTCTTTGTCTTCAAAGGACTTTCCCCGTCTTCTGTAGTCTGATCACATACGCAGCAGCCTGTTTACTCTCAGGTTCAAAGTGGTACTTTTCTAATGGAGATGTGCATCACCTGAAGGGCTCATCACAGCATAGGTTGGCCCCAGCCTGAAAGGTGTTGGTTCTATAGGTATAGACAGAAAATTGACTTTAACCGTGAGAAGGACACGCTATTCCCTGGAACCTACAAATGTGCTATTTTACATGGAAGAAGGGACTTGCAGATGTGATTAAGGATTTTGAGGTTATCTTTGATTATCCATTGTAGTCAGAAGGGTACCATGAACTGGAGGCAGGAAGGTCAGATCAGAGAAAATGTTGTGATGGATGCAGATGCAAGTAATGCAGCCACAGCAAGGAGTAGGGGACTTGGGAAGCTGAAAAACACAGGAAATGGATTCTCCCCCTAAAGTCTCCATAAGGAACACAGCTCTGCTAACTGCTTGATTTTAGCCATGTAAAATCCATTTCAGAATTTCGGAATTTTGACACCCAGAACTGCAAGGCAGGGGCAGGTGTTGTACAGCAAATTAAGCCATGACCTGTGATGCTAGAATTCCATATGAGTGCTGGTTCAGTCCCAGTTGCTCCGCTTCCTGACTCCCTGCTAACGTGCCTAGGAAAGCTTCAGAACCTGACCCAAGTGCTTGAACCCCTGCTACTCACATGGCAGACCTGAATGGAGTCCCAGGCTCCTGGTTTTGATCTGGCCCAATCCTTGCCATTGTAGACATTTGGGGGGTGAGCCAGCAAATGAAAGATCTCTTTTTTTTTCTGTCTCTCTTCCTCTCTCTGCCAGTCTGCCTTTCAAATATAATCTTTAAAAAAAGGAAGAGCTCAAAACCACATATTCGTGCAAGTTTAAGTTGCCAGGAATGTGGTAGTTTATTGCAGCAGTCATAGGAAAGATACTGGGTTGGGTTGACTTCTGAGAATCTTCTAATAGATTCCAGGGGCTGTAGATGCTTCAGGGACTACATGTCTTTTAGTGCAGCATGCAGTCTTCAGTGTTCTCCCAGGAATTGGACTACAGGTTATACAGATCATCTGCTCTCTTAACCTGAATCATACACGTGGAAGCTTTGGCTTAGACAACTCTTAACTGCAAAGAGTGCCTGTTCCAGAAATCAGCATTTAAACTTTGATTTTTTTTGTTGTTTCTATTCTACTATAGCAGAGATTCACCATGCAGCCTGCAGGACTAGCTGGTAAAAGTGTCTCCTGTTAATATTCCATAAATTTTTATCTTATTGTTTTTTCATTCACTGTTTTCTTTGTGTTTAAGTTATAGGACATGTCATCTACTTTAACACAATCTTCATGGAAAATAGGACAAGAAGCTCCATGTTCTAGAAGGGAACTGGAACAGGGAAGGTTTGCAATGAGCAGGATGTTCTGATCCTCTTTTTGCACCCTCTGCTCACTGCTCCTCCCCTTTTACCATGCTTAGCCAAGCTTGGCCACACCTCTACAAGTGTCTTGCATTGCTTCCATAGATGGTTTTTCCATAGATGAGTCTGGTTTTTCTATGCTGGGGTGCTCAGATGGCGATTTCAGCAATAGTTAATATGATTGCCAAAGCCCTCAGTCTCCTGCTGTGGGTTTGCCAGAAGACTTCTGGGGATCTTGCTTGAGAAAGGAGACTTCATGCTCCTAGGAGAGTAAAAGGGAGGAGGTGCAAGGAACCTTGATAATTCACAAAGAATTCTGTAGCAGGGATGCTATGGTCACGGAATGTCAGTGTACAGTGAGAAAGAACATGGGGGTTAATGGTTCTTGCCACTTCCTCCTTGTTTTTCTGTTCTTTCCCTCTTTCTTCTCCTTCAGCAGGCAGTGCATTCCAACCTCTGTATGAATTCTGGCTCTTCCTTCTGTTAGTCGTGTGACAATGAACGTGTCAGACTTTCAATTCCTCTCTTCATTCCATAGAGACAAACATACCTACCTTGTTTCTCTGGTATGAACTAAGTGACAGTTTTATTATTGCACTTTGTTTTATTGTGCTTCAGCTGTGTTGTTTACAAACTGAAAAGTGGCAAGCCTATATTAACCCAGTCTCTCCCACTGTCTTTCCAACAGCATGTGTTCACTTTGTGTCTGTGTCCCATTTTGGTAATGTCCAGAATATTTCCAACATCATCATCATCATTATTATTATTATTATTATTATTATCATCTGCTGAGGTGGACTTGGAACACCTCCTCTATCCAGCCTGTGCCCTGTAAGTGCAACAGCAAAGCCCCATGACAGCGCATCTGCTTACAACATGGTTCATTGAATATTTCAAGCCCATGACGAAGACCCACTGCCCAGAACAACAGATTCCTTTCTTAATATGACTACTCATTGAACAGGTACCTGGTGCCCCAGGAGCTGTGAAATGGGTGCACAATGAGGTCAAGGTTCCCACACTTTCTACCCTAGCATCTACTCTGCAGTCCACAGATCAAGCGTGTACGTTGACTATGAGGTCATGTTGTTTAAGAAGCACATCTGGTAAGGCTGTTGCAGCCCCTGAGAGTGATTTATCTGATGGATCCAGCCAAAGTAATCTGGAAACCTTCTAGAAAGGAGTCACCATTCTAGATGTCATTAGGGACATTTGTGATCTATGAGAGATAGACAAAAATATCAACAGCAACCAGAGTTTGGAGAGAACTCACCCTAGACCTCATGGGTGACTCTGGGGGACTCAAGAACTGCAGTGGAGGAGGTGCCGGCAGACGGGGTAGAAACAGCAGAGCTAGAATTCAGAAGTGGCACCTGAAAGATGTGGCATGGCAATTGCTGCCTGCTTGTGATAAGAGTTTAGTGGATAAAAAGTTACTTCTTATGGGTGAGCAAAGAAAAGTTTTTTGGGGGAATCTACACTGAATTAAGTTGCTGTAAAAATTGATGAAATGACAGTCAAGGGTGTAGAGAGCTGCAGGGCTCAAAAGGATGGACTCCAGTCTTGAAAAAAGATTTTCTGTGGACACTGCACATTCAAGCATCTTGGCAGACTGTAGAGGAGTCACTCGTGAAAGGGAGCAGACTCCTTGCCTCATGTAAAGAAACTGCCACAGCCTCCCTGGTGTCAGCAACCACCAACGTGGAGGCAAGACACACCCTCTCACTGCCACTACCCCCAGCCAAAAAAAAAAAAAAAATTAAGCCCCACACTGTAGGTTCAATCATTAGTACTTTTGATTAACGATGGATTTGTAAATTAAAGTCATCAGTTTTTGTTGAGATAATACCATTGCACTCTGCAAAGAATATAGTGTAGAGTACAGTATAAAAATAAGTTTAATTAGTCCCTGGAAACCCAAGGATCCATGTGACTCCATTTATGGTGACACTTGTTCTATTACAGTGAGCTGGAGAAGAAGCCACACTATCTCTGAGCCATCTGATTCTGAAATGTGTTTGTGAGTGGTGGTTAATGCTCTCTATGGTGCAGGTCACTGCTTGGTGTCTTTCTCATTGAAAAGTCCTATTCAACCAACAGCTTTCACAGGCAATATGGAGTAGTAAACACTTTAATGGGTAGCTCATGGTTTCCCATTCATGCTGAGACAACAACAGCTCCCCTCCACCTCCCTTTCTGAGGCCTACATGGCTTTATTCCTATTGGGCAGGCTCAAAGCCCTGGGCATGTGCCCGGGTGAGCCACTATGTTTTTTCCAAATATAATCAGATAAGCTAGTAGGCAAGATGGAAGCAACACAGAGCCACAGGAAAACCATTTTCCCTGGTGAGTAAAAGGCAGAAGGGTGCTTGGCGCATAGGGCATGTTGCACGTCAAGTATCAGCGGGGAAAAGTCGGGGCTGGCCAGGGTCTGGATATTGATCAGGAAGTTCTTCATTGTCAGGATGTAGTCCTCACCATAGTCCTCCAACACCTCACCAGGTAGCTGCTCCATGATATTCTTCTCGTGCTTCTCCCACGCATCACTGGTGCCCATGATTTCTGCAATGTGAGGGGAAACTAAGGGTCAGGGGCCGGGGAAGCCAGGCAGTCAGGTAAGCAAGAGCTCCAATTGCAAACACCTTTTGCAATGCATTCTTTCTAATGGCATTCACCTTCAAACCAAAATACAAAACAGCACACAAGTAACTAATATTTCACAATCTGAAATGCTCATGTAACTAGCACCAGAAAAGGAGCCCAACAGGGCCATCCCTGAGGTCTCCCCATTCCCTTCTAGGTAGCCAGTGTTCCCAGACCAGGGTGGATGGATTACTTGTGCAGTAAAAGTATGCAGGTGGGCCCATAGGGTATTTATTTTTCGGCATCAGCTTTTCTCCATGCTATGTTTGTGAGTTTCCTTTGTGTTCTGTATGTTCGTGCTTCTTGCCTGTGATTTTCTAGTATGTAGATGTGCTGTAAATTATCCATTGGGCCATGGTGCTCATTGGTGCTGTTTCAGTTTGGGCTTCTCATAAATGCAGCTTCCACAAATATTCTGGATGTTAAAATTACTATCATGTATACAAGGGATCATTACAAAGCTCATGGAAAATGCATGTTATAAAAAAACTACAAGGATTTTATTTATTTTTTTGTAACACAATAAAGTTAATTCCATTTTCCAGAAACCATTTGAACTCACCTAGTACAATATATAATATCCACAGAATATTATTATATGCCTACATACTAATATACATACATGCACATAAATAGTATGCATATTTTGAGTTTTAATAGCCACTGCCAGATTAGTTTCCAAAATGTTTCTGCCATGCAGGCTGTTGTCCTACAAAGGGCATGATTGCTCAGGGATTGCTAGCTTGGGTGACTCCTGGGGTCAGGACTGCAAGCAAGCCTGGCTGTGAAATGGAGGCCAGTGAAATCCAATTGTATGCATAAAAATTCAAACTGCTTGTTTCTTAAGGCAGGATGCTGTGCTTTAAAAAAAAAATGTCCTGACAGTTGCTATGGAGGCAATGAATCTTGGGAAATATGTGCTTGAACCATGGTTCCTCTTGCCATCTCTCCTCCCATCTCAACCATTGCTGGGATTCCTTTTCTTCTTTTCCTCCTCCCCCTTTAAACATTTTGTGGACTTCTGATAGTCCTTGTAGATATCCTATCCAGAGTCCCGAAAGTTCTCTTTATGGGTTCCCTGGAATGCATTGCCAAATCACGCTCTGCCATTGAGGCCTCACGTTTTTAACTCTAACATGACCTAAATCTAAATCCCATCTCTGCTTCATATCAATTCTGTGGCTTGGGAGACTCTCTGAGCCTAGAGTTTCTTACTACAATATGGAAACAGTACAGTGCCTATTTTGTTGGTAAAATTTAAATGAGGCATTTCACATTCAGGGGTCAAAATCCTCTAAATGAGCAATGTGTTTTGGCTATTTTTGTAAAAGAGTCCTTAAAAAGCCTGGTCTGTCTCTTGAAGTGTCTTCAGAAACTTCTTATCTGTGTTCCTTGCTTCCCAGTTTTCATTGAATCTCAACAAGAAACCTCATTCTTCCCACTTCTGCTCTTTGGCCTTTTGCTTATGAGCTTTCTTTCTACTAGCGGCAGTCTGGTGCAAAAGTGATAATACTTCAGAAAGTTCAAGCAGGGCCCAGTGTGATGCCTCAATTAAATAATCTTTGCAAGCACTGGGATCCCATGTGGGTGCCAGTTTGTGCCCACTTCCCATCCAGCTCCCTGCTTGCAGCCTGAGAAAGCAAGGAGGATGGAAGAGGCTCCAGTTTCCTGGCTTCAGATTGGCTCAGCTCTGGTCATTGCAGCCATTTGGGGTGTGAACTAGTGGCTAGAAGACCTTTCTCTCTGTCTCTCCTTCTCTCTCTCTGTGAATCTGCCTTTCCAATAAAATAAATAAATAAATAAATCTTTAGAAAAAGGAAGTTCAAGTAAAAACTGGATGTATAGCCTAGCAGTTAAGACATTGACTAAAAATACTTGCCATATCAGGGTAGCTGGCTATGTTAGATGTCCTGCTGTGGCTCCTGTCTCCAGCTTTCTAACAGTTTAGACTCTGGCAAACAACAGCAGTGGCTCAAGTAATTGAAATCCTGTCATCCCCAGGAGAAACCTGGATTGAATTCCTAGCTCCTGGCCATGGGTAGCCCAGTCCTGATCAATGTGGACATCTGAGGAGTGAATCAGTAGATGGTAGCTGTCTCCCTCTATCTGTCTCCTTCTGTTTCTGCTTCTCAAATAAATGAAAATGCTTTAACATTTGTAGAAAAATAGAGTCACATGTATTTTGTTGCAAAAAAAAAAATCTATGTACAGTGTTTCTCATGAACATATTGAAGGCCTTTTGAATGCATGGATTTGAACATTTTTTTTCTACACCAAAATGAACCTACCTCTCAATTCTGCTTTCTGTGAACTTTTAAAAATACACTCATGTGGTAAGGTTGAAGTATAAGTTGGAAACAGTATTACCCGTTAAAGCTGAAGATTGGTAAGCCATATGATCTTGTCATTCTACTCCTGAGTATGTATCATAGAAAAATATATGTGGGCCTGGTGTGATGCCTTAGTGGCTAAATCCTCACCTTGCATGTGCTGGCATACCACATGAGTGCTGTTTTGTGTCCCAGTTGTTCTGTTTCCCATCTGGCTCCCTGCTTGTGTCCAAGGAAGACAATTGAGGATTGCCCAAAGCCTTGGGGCCCTGCGCCTGTGTAAGAGACCCTGAGAAAGTTCCTGGCTCCTGGGTTCAGATCAGCTCAGCCCTGGCTATTGCGACCACTTGGGGAGTGAACCGCAGACAGAAGATCTCTGTCTCTCCTCTCTGTAAATCTGCCTTTCCAATTAAATAAATAAATAAATCTTTAAAATATATATATATATGCATGCAAAAGACAGTCCCTAACTGGATTGGTCATAATTAGACACACCAAATTACAGATGATCAAATGTCTCATCAACAGCAGAAAATTGCGAAAGATTCACAGAGTACAACACAGCAATGGAAGTGAACTGCAGTTGTACACAGCATAGACAAACCATAAAATCACAGTGTTGAGTGAAAAAAAAACTAGACACAAAAGGATAGATACATATTGATTCCATTTCAAGTTCAAAAATGATTAAAGCCAAGCTTTGGGGATGTGCAAATGGGTATAAAGCTGTGAAGAAAAGCAAATGAGTGATCATGACAAAAAACAAGAGAGCTGTTAGTTATTGAGGTGACTGTGTTGGGAGAAGATGGTATACATGCTGATAGCCTTTCATTTTTTGATCCAGGTATTAAATATATTTGTGTTTATAAGTCTTGATTTCTTAAGATTTGTTTTATTTGGAAGGCAGAATTACAGAGAGAAAAAAGGAGACAGAGAGAGATTTTTCCACTGTTTCGCAGAATAAATGACCACATGACTAGAGCTGGACCAGTCCCAAGCTTCCTCCTGGCCTTCCATGTAGTGGCCCAATCGGGCTACTTTCTGCTGCTTTCCAGGGAGCTGGATTGGAAATGGAGCAGCCAAGACTAGAACCAGCTTTCATATGAGCTGCTGGCACCACAGGTGGAGGTTTAAGTGACTTCACCAAGGTGCCTGTCCCTATAACAAATATTTTTACACGTATTGAGTATCTTCTTTCTGTACATATATTTCTCAGTTGCTCAAATATTTGGGTCCTTTCCACCTAAATTGAGTTTGCAGCTACTAGCTTTGGCCTAGCCTAGCCTAAGCCGTTATAGGCAGTTGGAGACTAAACCAGCTCTGTCTCTCTGCTTCTTGAATAAATAGATTAAAAAAAAAATTGACAGCCACGGGAAAGAATGCACTAAAGGCAAGTGACCCACCACCTGATAAAAGCAGCTACCCAGAAAGGTTAGTGGTGATCATGACACTGAATCCTTGAAACTAATGTAACTGCAGAGTTGCCCTCTTGTGCAAATAGAGTTGTAAATTTGTGGGCTGGAATTTTCTTTGGGTTGTGGCACCAAACCTTCACCCCTCCTGCCAGATTCTAAATCTAATTTGTCATGTCCTCCTGCACTGGCTCCCAGTGCTCCTTGCTCCAAGTTCCTTTCTGTCCCAGGCCCACAGTCTGGCATCTTGGCTTCTCTTTGATCTGCTGCCTGTCTCTAGCAACTACTCTTAATTTTCCTCCCCAACATGAAAACATTTCATAAAATTTCATCTTCTCTTTGTTTCTATTGCCCTGGTCCAGCCTCTCAACTTGAGTGGTACATGTTCCTGACTCTTAGTCTCCCTTCCCGAATAGCCCCTTCAGGAAGACCTGAGCCTCTTTCACAACCTTGTGGGGCTTGGTTGTGGAGCACTTCAAGTTGAAAGTTCAGTTGCTCTTTTAAGATTTTATCTGGTCTATTTGATCTGACAGTCAAAATTTTAGCATTATTTTTTAGTGTACTAGCAACACCCCCTCTAGTCTGTGGTCTTTTATTAAACATGCTTTAACTTCTTCTTTGAAATCATTGATTAAATGTTTGTTGACCCAGAACTGAGGCTTGGGGTTTTGCTGTTTATGTTCAGAAATTCAGGAAGGGGAGATGAGAGCATTGTCAGCCCCTCCTGGGGAACAGGGAGGTGGGTTCTGTTCTTCAGAGGAGAGGAGAAAAATACTGTTTTCAAAATACAGAGAAACTGGAACAAAGAAACCATCTTGGCCAGAGAATGAGAGACAAATAAATGTTACCCAGAATATCTGTTCTAACTACTGGAAGAAAATAAGCTTTAACTCTACATAAATTAGCCTGATATGGGGCTAGTAGATGAAATATTGGAAAGGAGGTTTGGATGGAACTGTGAACATGTTTGCAATTGGTGCGAGGCAGTTGGGCCAGTTTCTGAGCTGTGCTCTCATATGGCAAACAAAGGCTCCCCATCAGAAGACTGACTTCTACAGAACCCTGTTCTGAGAAGACCTCAGGAGACCTGCTTGCTGTCAGTTTCTTAGCCAACTTAATTTCCTGGTGGAAAGAAGCATATGAACAGCCATAGCAGAGAACTTGGCACTTGCCTCCCAATTCCTGCATAAGGCTAGGTTATCCCAACCTTCTTTAGTGGACATTGGGAATGGCAAAACTCTGGACACAGGACAGACCCTTCAAACTCTTGCACTGCCAAGACTTGACCACATTGTAGCACAGCTTCTAGCAGTGTAAGTGCAAGTGCTAGGTTGACACAAACCTCCCACTGAAATCCCTTGCTGGGAAGACTCTGCACTGCCAGGAAAATATTCTACTTGTTCTCATCAATGCACCCTTGATTTGCCACCCTTTCTTGGAACATCTGTTAAAAATGACTTTGTAAACACGAGGGAACTTTAGAAATACGAGAAAACTTCACAAGTTTCGTGGGAAAATGAAATTAGATGTTTATTTTTGTTGGGGGCAGGGGAACCTGAAATCCATTGCCAGTTTTTATGTAGTGTGTTCATGAACTCTTTTGAAGACCCCTTGCATGTACCTCTTGCAAATCAGAAGTGTCTCGCTCCAGGAACCTGAAGGTGATTCTTTAGAAGGACAAAGGGCTGTGTCCAGCCTCCATGGGAGGCAGAATACCACTGGTAACTGACAGCAAACACATGTGGCCGCAGTGCAGCCACAATGATCCACCCTTTGCACTTTCCCTTCTGATGATTCTGCTGACTCTGCTGGACCATGCTCAGCCACCCATCCTCCCCTTAAAACAAGCACTTGATGACCACACAATTGGAAAGTGGGCTCAGCTCTTTCCTCCATTGCCCATCATCACCAAGTAAAATCTGCTTTCACCACATTATCCGTTGCCTGGCTATGGTCCAGTTTGGGGAACACAGACAGGTTCAGCCTGAACTGTGTTAGTCCCTCAGGATTCTTACTGATATGAACACTGTGAGGCTCTCAGACCCAGACACTTACTTGTTTGGAAGCCTCCAGGTTGGATGATAGCAACTTTAACTCCCCATTTGGAAAGCTCCTGTCTCATTACTGATGAAAACATCGTCAGCGCCGCCTTTGCTGAGGAATAGCATGATAGCCTTTCCATCGGGACCCCTGCTACAGGAACAAAAGAGACAAAAAAAAATCAAGCCTGATATTTTCATTCTTTCAATCAATAAATATTTAATCAGCATCAAGCTGCATGCCAGGAAACATTGTCATGGTGACTAAGATAGATAAAGGCAGACGAGAACTCTCCATACCCGGGTGAATACATGTTTTGGGTCACTCCCATTATAGGGCTTTTACTCACTTCTGCTCTTGTTGGATGCTCCATCCCTGCTGATCCAATGGCAAAGCAAGTTGAAGGCTCAGGCTTGCCTGACTGCTAAGTAAAATGTGATTTGTGTGGGACAAAGAGCATCTGCACACCAGCCTCTAATCTTCCAGCTTGACTAATACATATTCTCTGATTGCAAGTGTTCCCATATCTTCGGGGGAGGAGCACTATTAAAGTGATTATAGTACCTGTGGTTGAACAAATTTGTTTTGATATTTGTTACAGTGAGGAATAACACACAGCTCTGTAAGAAGGTTTGCAAAGGTCTGATTCTAGGGCTGTGGCAGATGTTCTCTATCCTACATAAATCACACTTAGTTTAGATGCCATGAAATGAGTCTTGAACTGGGTTTATCATCGAGCCAGCTATAAGGAAGGCAGGATCACAGGAAACCAGAAATGCAAAGGATGTATTTGAAATTAGGGTCTCTGCTTATGCAATTAAAGTAAATGTCTCTAAATAAGATTATCCTGGATTAGGATGGACCCCAAATGTAATTATGGTTGTTTCTGGGAAAGAAGATACATAGAGACTCAGAGTAGGCCATGGGAAGGTAGGGGCAGAGACTGGAGCTGCACTGTCACAAGTCAGGGAACACCTAGGGCCATCAGAAGCTACAAGGAGCATAGTTTCCCCTGGAACTTTAGAAAGAGCACAGTTCTGCTAACCCAGTTTAGAAAATAATCCCCAGAGAAATGAAAACGAATTAGTCTTTTAAACAAAGCAACCATCAAGAGGAATTGAAAGTGTAAAAAACACAGACATCTTCAATCAAATACAGTGAGAAAGAGCCAGATAACAAAGAATATGCCTTCTTTGTGATTTCATTGGTGTAACATCTTAAAAAACACAAATGGACACATCAGTGGCTACGTGCCGAGTGGGTGTGTTATAGGTGAATTACACCTTCCTTCACATGCAAATATTGACACCCTAACACCTAGGCCATGTGGGTCCTTGGAGATGGAGCCTTTGGAGGCGATTAAGTCACAAACATAGGACCTCTGTGATTAGGATTCATGTCCTTTTGAAACACCAGAAAGCTTCCTCACTTCTGTCTCCACAATGTGAGGTCCCAAGACAAAGGTGAGCATCTACAAACCAGGAAAAGAACCCTTACCAGTACTTGACTATGCTAGCACCCTGCTGTCAGACCTGTAGCCTCCAGGACTGTAAGGAACATATTTCTGCCAGCCAAGCCACCCAGTCTATGTTACAGAAGCTTCAGTCAAAGAATGCAGAGTATGGGAGGAGCAAGAGAAAGGAATTAGAAAATATGGACAGGTATGTGGATCACAGACATACTGTACATCATCGTCACTGTGACGGTGGCTCCATGGCATACACAAATGTCTAAACTTATCAAATTATGTTTGCAAAAATGAGCAGTTTGGTGTATATCAGTTTTTTTTTTTTAATGAAAAGAAAAAGAAATTACTATACTTCAGGAATCCACAGAGAGCTCTGCCAAAGACTGGTATGACTTGAGAGGTGTGTTACTCTACCCAAGACCACAGGACTTCCACCCAACCTGTCAGGGGAAGGAGGAGGAACTCCACTTTCCCTGGACTTTCCTTTCCATGTGCCCTAGATTCACCATCTTTCTCAGCATTTGCGAGTCTCACAAACCAGGCAGGGCTTTGCACATGTGCTTGTCTTCATTTTCCTGACGTGAGCTTGTGGTTGGCTCCTTCTGCCTCCCAAAGTCTCTTCTCTTGTTCCACATAGGCATGCTTTGTGAGTGGGAGAATAGCTTCTTAGCCTGGAGTTCTCTTGCTCGAGTCCTACCTCCAACCAGAAGTGAAAGTTTTCTGCTTGAGTTTCTGAGACCATAAAACATGGCTCACATCCACACTTAACATTTTAAAGGGAAGTTTAAATCATCACTTCAAGTCTGTCATGGGAAGTGCATGTGGGTATTTCTTGATAGGCTTCCAGCTGTCTCTACCTGAACTCCATAAAACACTGGGCTCACGTCTACACAAAGAGGGAGTGTGGAGCACAAGAGCCCTGGGTCCTTATGCGGAGTTAGTTTTCTAAAAGGCAACCTGAGTAGATTGCCTTTTAGACATTGCCTATCTCCAATCACTTATTGAAACTGCCTTGAATTTGTCTGCCCAGTCTCAATGATTTGTGTTATGAAAGTCACACAACATAATATTTAATTGCATAATCAAACTATATGGAATCTATATTCCATATACACACAGAGATACCTACAAGTAAAACTAAGGAAAACAGGCCAAAGAATTGCATCCATGTCAATATGCAATAATACTAATCTATGATTTCACAAAATCTTGAGCACTGGTATACACTAGGTAAAGGCTATGCAAAATTTCATTCCTTGCAACTACAGATAAATTGATAATTACTTTGGGAAAATAAAATTGAAAGAGCATGGGCATAGAAGAATAGATACCTAGAATAGTTCTTGGCAGTCATCCTCACTCCGTCTACATTATTAAAGCGTTGGTCTGGCCTATATAATATCCTCTTCTCCCTGTCTTTCCAGAAAGACTTAATCAGTGCTTGTGTTTTCTCATTTCCTATCACTTACGTGTAGAGATAGAGTTGGGAGTGAGTGGACACTCATACTAAGTCAGAGCCATTTTCAAAAATAGGTATGTATGGTGAAGAGGAGGTGTTTTGTTATTTCCAACCACTCATGTAAATATATTGACACACCATTATTGATAGTGGACTGGAGCTCTTATTTTTAAATATTTACTATTTTTTATTGGAAAATCAGATATACAGAGAGGAGAGATAGAATGATCTTCTGTCTGCTGGTTCATTCCCCAAGTGGTTGCAACAGCCAGAGCTGAGCCAATCCAAAGCCAGGAGTCAAGAGCCAGGGAGCCTCCTCCATGTCTCCCATGTGGGCACAGGATCCCAAGGCTTTGGGCTGGGCTCTACTGCTCTCTCAGGCCACAAGCAGGGAGCTGGATGCGACTGTGCCCATATGGGATCCTGGCACATGCAAGATGAAGACTTTGGTCACTAGGCTACCTAGTCCCCTAGGAGGTCGCCTAGCAGGCTGTTTTTATTACAGTGTAGGGGGGAGGTCAGCAGAGAACATTACGTGAGTAAACAGGGAAGCAGGCATCAGAGAAGGAAAGAAGATTACAGGTGGGGAGGAGGGCATATATGGTGACTTCATCTTAAACCTTGGTCCCAGCCAATTGGTGAGCTAATCAAGACCGCTTCAGGTTTTTGTTTGTTTGTTTGTTTTTCGTTTGTTTGTTTTTAGTTTACGTTAATTTGAATGTGGACCCTGTCTCTTAAAAAAAAAAATTCCAAAGCTTAGCTGGTGTAATTTCAATAACATCTGGCATCAAACAAGTTCTCATTAAATATAGTTTGTCACAGGTTTTTATTTAAGTGGTTTTTAACTTAACAAAGCCTTACTGCTTGAAAACCAAATGCTTACTTTTGCTGGTGAGAAAGGCCAAAGAAGTGTTTAAAAAGCAACTTGAAGTCACACTGTTGGTTGTGGGCTAACTCCAGTTTGTGAGGTAAGTTCTCCCTCTCTCTTGATTTTGATAGGTAATGGAGACAGTCCAGCTGGAGGGCAGCCAGGTATGGTTAGGATCCAGATTCTGGAGCCAACACTGCCTGAGATTTATGTACAAATTTCAGCTCTGCCACTGATTAGCCACCTGTTCTCAGAAACTTATTTTGTGTGCCTCTGGCTTTTGATCTGTAAATTAAGAATAACCACAGTACACGCATTATAGGTTTTTGGATAAAATTAAATGGATTAATATATGAGACTAGTACCTAACTAAAGTAAGCTCTCTACATGGTGCTACTCCAGTTCTCTCCAGTTATATCTTAATTTCCCAAAAGGCTTCATCTGTTTGGTGTTTCTTAGAGTACTAGGTGCACCTGCTTCAAAATCCCCAGCAGCACTTGTTAACAACATGCATTACTAGAACCCCCCGCCACACACACACACACACACACTAGAGCTATAAATTCTGAACCTGCACTTCAAACCAATCCAAGGGATCCTTTTGAATACTAACTCTTGACCATAAACTGAAGAAAGCATGAGTTTTCCTGTAGATACATGACATGCGGAAGATAGAAGGGCTGTGGCCTGAGTACGTCCTCTAAAGAGCACAGGCTGGAAATGAAATCCCCAGAGCAGCCTAGTGGGAGGTGGGAGCCTCATGAGGGCCTAGTGGACAGATCAGCGCTGTTTTCTTGGGTGGTAGAGTGATGAAATAAGGAGGACCTGATCAGCCACCTGAACCGTGAGCTAACAGTGCATTTCTGTTCAGTATAAGTTACCCGATCTCAGGTGTGCTGCTAATGCACAAAATGGACTAAGACAATAGGTATAGCATCTGAATTATGATGAGGCTAGATCATAGCCTACATTATCAACCTAAGCAAAAACATGCATTGGGCCAGATATTTAAGATGAATTTATCTTTTGTATTGTGTTTAATCCTGCAAAATGGCCAACATTAGACCAATTCATAAGCATAAAATGGAAGTACTATTGGGATAAATCTTTAGACCCAACCTAGTGGTGAATGTCTTCTGCCAGTGTTGATGCCCTCTTGCTCTGGACTGAGTGTGTATGTATTCCCCAGAATTTACATATTGAAGCAGTATTTGGAGATGAAGCCATTAAGTTTAAATAAGGTCAGAAAGATGGAACCCTTATCTGACTATTTGTCTCACACACACACACTCATCCTCATTCTTTCACTCTCCCTCTTTCTGTCTCTTGCTTTTCCTCTTTCTTCTATTTCCATCTCC